CTCAACCCCTTAACCCCTAAACCCCAAATCCTCATCGGATGTCCTTCTTAAGTTCAGTGCTCTTGCCGTCCATACCCATGCAGCCACTAGCCTAGCATTTTGCAGATTAGGGTGGAGGGGATACAAAGGGCCATAACCATATAACATACCATTTCGTGAAGGTCCTTGCTATGGGCCGGAAATGGAAGTACAGAGGGCATAGGGTTTAGGGTTCTGGCTGCTTGTGTTATTGTTTTCCCCTGTATATTCGGACTGCTGCTGCTACGGCTCCCAAAGCAGGAAGCCAACACCGCCCACATACAAGCCGTAATGCAAGGGCGCTGATAGTTTTAACTAGGTGTCCGGTGTATTTGTAGTATAGCATAGGCATGTAGACTGTAGCGTCATTTACCAACCGTTCAGCCCCTATGCTGAATAAGCCTGAGTAGTCTCATGTATTTGCACTCCCAAATCCGAAACCCCAAACCAACGCACCTAGAAATCCAAGATCCCAATGTCTCAAACTCTAAACCACGAGAGACGCAACGCCGAAACTGCACGCTTATCCTTCTCTTCATTTGGACAGTGAGGGCTTCCGGACAGATGCAACAGAACGGAAGATTCGCTACACCCAGAGGACCGGAAACCCTAAACGGTACACACCGAAGCCCTTGACCCCCAGAAGCCGAAAAAAATCAAGCATTGACCGCGAAGCTCTGAAGCCCTAAAGCCCTACTGTACTTGGAGGTTCATGGGTAGTTATAAGTGGGGTCATTAAGTCCCCTAATATGGGTTATAATTATAGTTACCCTACTTATAACCCTGCTTATAACTACCCATGAACCTCCAAGTAGGGGCCTTAATGATTAGAATATGGTCTTTGTCTCCTTAATTATGGTATTGATTTTAGAAAAAAGGAACCCTGGGGAATAACATTCGTAATCATTTTGGCTTCATCCACTAGGCCACTATAGCCCCAGACCCTGAAGCTCTCTTTGAAGAAGCAGGTGTCTCAAACTAGCAGAACTTACGATGTTGTAGGTATTCTTATAAAAACCCTGCTGTCACTTTTAAGAGCGGCCCTACAAAAAAAGTTGGTTTTGCTAGGTCAAGGTAGCGTCTTGGCTCCCAAGTCACTGGCCGGTATGTGGCGATGGCCGAAGCAGTCTTCCTGCGGTCTGCGGCTCCGGGTTTAGGGTGTAGGGTTTCATGAAGTTAGCTATTTAGAGTTTAGGGTTTAGGTTTAAGGGTTCAGGATGCAGGTTGCGGAATGTACCTTGGCGCTTAACAACTGGACCCACAGATCAGATGCATAACCCAGACAAATCCCAAACCCCGAAACATCTAAACCCCAAATCGTAAACCAAACCCAAACGCACGTCCAGGTTGAAGTACAGAATGGGTGACCCGGACTATGCTTGGTAGAGGACAACCTTAAGTAAGGTCAGCTCTATCTCCATCTGCAACCTACTCACCCCGAACTCTAATTTAGCCCCGAACCCTAAGCCCTAAACCCCACACCCTGAACCCTAAACCCTCGACCCTGAACCCTACAACCCCAAACCCTGACCTCTCAAGGCCCCAAAACATAGACTCTAAGACTCTAAGCCCCAAAAAGCCCAAGAGCCCGAGATCCGAAAAAGCCCAAACCGGGTTTAGGTTTAGGGTTTAGGGTTTAGGGTTAAACCCCCGCCCGAAACCCCGTAACTGTAAAGCCCATCCCTACCTGTAGCCGAAAAGACCTACCCTTTAAGGGTTCTTTATTCTGGTTTCTATATTGGTGGCTCTCTAAACTAGGCTCCGCTTTTAAAGTCCCCAAAATCGTACTGCACCCTTACAAAACGGAACCTAAAAAGGGACCCCAATTTAGAGCACTACCCAAATATCTAGTTCCTCAAAAAAAGGGTAGGACTTTTGGGCCACAGATACTTGGAGGCCCAGGGGACTTAGTAAGTAGGTTCTAATCTAAGTAGAGTTATTAGTACCCTAACACGAACTACTCCAATTATAACCCTACTTATAACCGACTTACTACGTCCCCTAGGCCTCCAAGTAGTCCCTAAAGCCAAATCGGATCAAGGGGCTGCCTAGAATCGCAATGCGCAGACCTCGAAGACCGCCGAGCGACATGGTTTAGGGTTTAGGGTTTTGTTGGGGTTTGGGGGGTTTTAGGGTTTTTTGGGGGTTCTGGGTTTAGGGGGTTTGGGGTTTGGGGCAAAACCCTAGTGTCCTTGAACGAAAAAGCCCCATTCCATACACTGTCGGCCTTATTTCACTGTGCTTCTCTCGTGGAACTGACCGAAGAAAAAATGTGTTAAACCCCGAAGCCCTGAACGCCCTGAAACCCTACACCCGCAGCTCCCTACAACCCGATACAAGTGACCTCAAACTCCTAAAGCCCCCGAACTCCGAAAATCCTACCAGGTAGTTACCAGTAAGTACCCTCAAGCCCCGAACCATCTATGTTGAACACATGAGGACCTTGGAGTTTAGGGTTTAGGGGCTTTAAGGGCTAAGGGTTTTAGGGGATTAGGGTTTAGGGTTCAGGGTTTACGCTCCTAAACCGTAAACCCTAAACACAAAACCCTAAACCGCAGAGCCACGGTTTAGGGTTTACCTTAAGAACCCCAAACCCACTTTTTTTGTAGGTTCTTATTATGAACCCTAATATGGGATTTATAGGGACCCTACAAAAAAGTAGGCTTTGGGTTCTTAAGGTAGGGGTAGGGGTTTAGGGGCAGCCTCCAGGACGAAGTCACGGAGTCCGGCGGCGAGACAGAGGCGGATCGTATCGGCCGCCACCTCTAAAGGCGGTGCTTTGGCTTGGGCTGTCGGGGGTTAGGATTTTGGGTTTTGGGTTTAGGGTTTTGGGTTTAGGGTGTCGGGGTTAGGATTTGGGGTTTAGGGTTTTGGGTTTCGGGTTTGGGGCGTCAGGGTTAGGATTTGGGGTTTAAAGCGTTGTTTAGTTAAGGGTCCCATCTGGAAGATCTTTTTACGGCCAGGAATAATTATTCCTCACTTGCGTGATTTCGGGCCTCTGAATACCAACCGACAAACTCTCGAAACCCATTAAAGGCCTCAGGGAAATTTTGGACACCACCTTGGACCCCTTAACCCTAAACGTCCCTAAGCGCTAAATCCATGAAAGGCCATTCGGAAAGCTTAAGCCCTAAACCTGTAAAGAACCGTGGGAAACAGTAACTTAGGAGCTGAGTACCCTAGCCCAAAAAAGGTTAACCTTTTGAATTATAGTAGGATTATAAGAGCCCCACAAGGTTAAAGGTTACCTACTCAGCCACTAAGGTAAAACTTCAGACCGCAAGGGACCTTCAGCTTTTCCACCTGCTCCTCTGTCGAGCCTCGGTCGCGTTTGCCAAGCAGGGCTCGGCGATGGGGGCTTTCTAAGGGATTCTTGCTTAGTTTGGGGGTTTAGTATAGGGTTTAGGGTTTAGGGTCATATTAACTTAAGGGCCATTATAAAGGTAGGGGACTAAGGTAAAGCGTTAAGGGTTCAGGGTTTGAAGCTAGAATAAGGGTTGTGCCTTAGGGTCATAAGAGGGGTTTAGGGTTAAAAACAAAGCTTTCGGGTTTAGGGTCATAGTAAGGGTTTAGGGTTAAGGGTCATAACAGTTTTCAGGGCTTGGGTCATAATAAGGGTTCTGGGGTTAGGGTCTTATTACGGGTTCATCATAAGGGTTTAGGGTTTACGGTTATAATAGGGGTTCAGGTTTAGGGTTATACCAATAAGGGTGTAGGGTTTAGCGTTGGAGCATTTTGAAGGGTTTAAGAGCTTTCGAGGAATTAGCGGTGTTGGGCTTAAGGGCTCATGGCAATCTGCCGAGGCATCTGGTGCACACAGCTACTGCGTGCCACGCTCTCTCTCTCTCTCTCTTTCTTTCTCTCTCTCTTTCTCTCTGTGGCTGCAGGAGGTCATACCGGAGACACGCCACCGGTTCCACATGCACGTGTTGCACGCATCTCAAGTCATTCTCGCTGACGTTTCACGGAGCCCCCCACTCACCAGATAGGCGCTGGCCCACCGCATCACCAGGTTTCTCTTTGTGCACTCCTGCTAGGGGCAGTTGAGGTGGGAGACTTTCAGTCTACGATGCTCATGGCTGTAAAGCTTGGAGGAACGGCCTCTATGAGGTTGCTCGTGCTCCGGCCATGGCATTGGCAAACAGTGTCCAACACGCCCAAGACCGACGGGACCTGTCCCAAGTCTGGGATGTCTTGCGGCAGACTTTCCAGGATCGCCTTTAGCATTCTCGCCTCGGCGCCCGTTGGGATGTCGTTGTCGTCCCGAGCCTGGCCGTTCATGTACTCCTCGTAGGTGTACACCGCCGAAAGTTCCTCGTCAACCCTGAGTTGACGGCCGTTGAGGTCACCTCCGACAGGCTGCCTCAGCTGCTGGGTCAAAGTGTCTCTGAATTTGATTCCGTCGAAGGCCGTCGCGCGTGAAAATGCTGCACGCACGCCGTTGAGGCCATCGTCATCAAGACTGGCAGCTGTTTGCGGAACCAGGTCGGTCCGGTCATCCACCCATGGCTGGGAACTGAGCTCTCTCCATCTCAGATGTCTGCTCGACTTGCGGCCTTCTCCAAAGAATCCACCGCTGGTAACCCTTTCGAAGTCAGAACCAGGAACGTTCTCCAGAAGAGCAAAAGACCACATGACATGGACTTAGGTCACACTGTTGCACGTACGTGTCTCTCAGAGGTCTCATGTACTGGCTCAGGCCGGCATTCTAGAGCTAGCAGTAAGTGCGCTTCAGTCGCATGCAGCTGTAGCCCAGTAGAACCCTAATCTGCAAAGCCCAGTTGGCTCTAGCCCCAAGCCCTAAACCGCCCCCAAACCCTAAACCCTAGAACCTCAACCCTGTTCCCAAATTCTTTGGAAGTGGGCATCGTATGAGATTGCACTGCTTTCAACTTAGCACCAGCTTGGAGGGGTTGGAAGCTTCGCAAAACTTGCGTTGCGCTACTCGGTGTGGGGTTTAGGGTTTCAGGATTTAGGGTTTGGAGCTTACATGTGGTAGTCTACACAGGGCACACAATGCACCGAAAAGGTTCTACGTCACCCACTGCAAATTTTAGGTAACCCTTGAAGGCACTGCCCTGACCCCTAAACCTTATACCCTAGACCCTAAAACCCCTAAAACCCCTCAAACCCCTCAAACCCCTAAACCCTCAACCCCCAAACCCCTAAATCCCTAAACCCTAAAACCCGCAAACCCTAACACCTAAACCCCTAAACCCCCAACAACCTAAATCCCTAAACCCGTGAGGCCCTAAACCCCTAAAGCCCTAAACCCCTCCACCCCGAAACCCCCCAAACCGTCAACCTCCCAAACTCCAAGGTCCCCCATGTTTTAAACATAACATAGGGGCCTTTATAATTAGAATAGGGCTTTGGGGCCCATTATACTATAATTATATTAAGGAACCCCCAAAACCCTTAAACCCCCCAAACCCTAAACCTGACCACAAATCCCGCACACCCCGACCCTAAACCCCCAAACCCTAAACCCCTAAACCCTGAAACCCCCAAAACCCTTAAACCCCCAAACTCCAAGGTCCATACTACATTTATATTCAGGAGCTCCCAAACCCTAAAACCTGAAACCCCCCAAACCCCTAAAAACCCTAAACCCATACAATAAAGGAACCCCCAAAACCCTGAAACCAAACCCCTCCACCCCTAACCCCCCCCCCCCCAAAACCCCAAAACCCTAAAGCCCCCCCCTTAACCCCTAAAACCACCAAAGCCCTAAGCCGCTTTTTCCTCCACCCCCCTGCCTTGATTCAGGCCCTGATCCTCGGGGAAGGGGCGCAGGCCTGACTTTAGTAGGTAGGGTCTGTAGGGGTTTAAGGGTCTGTAAGGGTCTGTAGGGGTTTAAGGGGTTTAGGGGTTTAGGGTTTAAGATTACGAATTTTAGGGTTCAGGGTAGGGTCTGTAAGGGTTTAAGGGGTTTAGGCTTTAGGTTTTAGAGTTTTAGGGTTTAGGGTTTAGGCTTTAATTGCCGAAAAACTTGTTATGATGAAGGTATGAAGGTCCGGAGAAATGTGGGATTTCGGGGGTTATGAAGGGTAAGACGTTAAGTTTTTAGGTTAGGGTTGAGGGTTCTTTTCGAGGGCATGTGAGGGGTTCTATAAGTTTCTTTTGTTTTAATGGCTTCTGGCTCATAGGGCTTAGGATTTGGGGTTGGAGGGTTTCAGATCCAAGGTGTGGAGGTTTAGGGATGTATTTGAAAGGTTAGTGTTCTTGTCCAGGGCTCCTCGGGTTTAGGCCTTTATATTGATTCCTGACTAACGTCGGGGTTTAGGGCCTGGTTCATAGGTTCATATTCCATGTTTCTGTTCTGTGTTGGCTTGCCACCCTTGCATTTGAAGGTTTAGGGGTTCTATGCTCGCTCGCTCGCTCGCTCGCTCGCTCGCTCGCTCGCTCTCTCTCTCTCTCTCTCGCGGCCGACCGTTATACATATTACAATACGCATGTATATATATATATATAGAGAGAGAGATATGTCTTAGATGTTTACGAAGAAGATTCTTTCGTGGGGTCTGAAGTTTAGGGTTTGGGGTCCAGCGAATGACATCTTGGGTTCTGCATTTGAGGTTCTAAGGAGTTCGACTTCTAGCCAAGGTTCTATATCTTCTATGTGGAGGACAATCGAGGACGTAAAGAGCAGAAGGCCTGCCTGATGCAGGGGCCCTAATAGTTACCTATATTATTGTGGCGGGTCCTTATTTTAATCATAGTGTAAGGGCCCCAAAACCCTGTTCTAATCATTTAAGGCCCCTATATTAGACCATTGGACCCTAAACCCCGAAGGGCCCCCCAATCCCTACAACCCTTATGCAGCCCCTTGCAGAACGCTCATAGTTCTGATCCCTTAAAGGAGCCCTTCTGAAGGAACCCCCTGATACTTCAACCTTGCAGGAAGAAGCAGGGGCCTTGTCCGGTGGCGAATCCTTGCAGGCGAGGGTCCTGGACATCTTTGGGAGGGGAGGTTATGGTTTAGAGAATTTAGGACTTAGGGTTTTAAGGGTTTAGGATTCAAGCTTTAGGTTTGCGAGGCTGTACCGGGTCTTTTGATTACAGGGTTCTATATGGCCATACCAGCAATAGTAGCAGCATGTAGTAATGACATAGCGATAACATGCATTGATTGCAATGTGCTTTGCACCAACAACCAGCGGTAAACCCAACGATAATGGCGATAGGCAACAACAGTCAACACAGCTGTGGCTATTGCTCTCTATCTACGGTTAAACCATCAAGCCTAAGCACACACGCACACACTAACTTATAAAATGCTACGAAACCCTTTAACAAATCTTTGTGAACCCCTTACTTACAGACTTCTCGCTAAGGGTGCCTGGGGTTGTTTTGGTGCTAACGCTAACCATGCCAATATAAGCAATAACAACCGAAACGACGCGTAACAATACCTATAGCGACTGCACTAACAATAACGCGCCAACAACCATAACAGCAACACCACGAGCACTAGCTAACGATAATATTAATGATGACAGGAATGTAGCACAAATAAGGAGAATAATCAGCATGGTCGAACAAATCAAACATGATTAACCAACCAATGGCCAAACAAACAAACATGAAGAACCACACGAACAAACAAACAACCCACCAAACAGGTAAACAAGCACATGGGTAGTTCTCTAAATTAGGGTCCCTTTTTTAGGTCCCGAATATAGTACGGCACCCTTATAAAAAGGACCCTAAAAGGGATCCTAATTTAGACAACTACCCAAATGCACAGAGGAAACAGCAAACATTTACAGTGCCCCCGTTGAATCCGACCATACGGTTGCTGATCTAACTCCTGCGTTGCCCATAATAAGGAATATACCGGAATTCCCTTTGGTTTCAGGTCCTTAGGGTAACGCAGGATTTACATATATATATATATATATGTATACGTATATATATATATATATATATATATATTATCATTAACAGTAATATAGGGGCCTTAATAATTAGAATAGGGTTTCGGAGCCCCTAAAATAGTTTAGGTAATTATTAAGGCCCCATATTATATCATCAAAACCCTAAACCCTCAACCCTAAAACCCCTAAACCCCTAATTTTAAAGCCCCTAAAGCCCCTAAAACCCCTAACCCCTTAAGCCGGATTTATATCATCAACCCTAAACCCTAAACCCTAAAACTAGTGGAGTCTTCAGTCGAATTTCTTCAGCTCTCGGCTTACCCCCCCCAAGGCCTCGAAAGGGCTGCCACCAAGGATGGCATCACGCAGGTGATCGTTGAAGGACGCGATGCCCGTGCCACCCTAAGTTTGGGTGTTTAGGGTTTAGGGTTCTGTTTTTT